GCTTAGAGGTTAAAGGCTCAGGCTTGGGGTTTTCATCCTTATTCTACTACTCTCCTACTTTGTAACCTTGAGACATGACTTTGCTTCAGTGTGTCTCAGTCTCCTTATCTGTAAAATAGGAGTAATGGTGGTATCTGTGGCATTGTTGGAGCATTAAATAAGAAGCCATATACAATTCAAGTTAGAATAGCCCTTGGCCCATGGGTGCTGGTTTTATTGTTAGTACTGGGGTCTCCCTACTTTGCCCCAAGAAATGTCCTTTAGAACCTGGAGCTGCCTGTGATTGGGGTTCACACTCTGGGCTGGTGCTGGCTTTGATTTTATACTGAGCTTCACAGCTCCTATGTGGGCCTTCTTTCAGTGGCTGCTGGAGAGTGTAGAGCTAGATATATTGCTTCGTTTAATCATCAGATTTCTGGTGACATCTCTTTCCACTTTCTGCAGGGCCTCTGTTCTCTTTGATCCTTAAGTTGTTTATTTTTTTATTGCATTTAGCCCCTAAACTGCCTCAAGCCTCCTTGAAATAGGCAGTTATACATTTGGAATGAATAAATAAAATGTTAGATCAGACATTGACTCAGAGTTGGTGTGTAAGGAAGTGTATCCTGCCTTATTGTATCCCTGTCTCCTCCTTGTCACTGAGTTTGGGGACGCACTGCGGTTATCAGTTGAGGCAGTAGGAAGAGTCAGCTTCTGGAACAATGAGGGTCTACTTCCCGCCTCAGCACACAGCAGAGAAAGAACTATTTTCTGGGTGTGATGATGAATTCCTGGGCCCAGTGGTGGTAAGGGGCAGGGTAGAAGAAGACAAAATCTAACTCTAATCAAGCACCTATTGTGTGCTTGGCTCTCATCTAGGTGCTTGGTACACTCCAGGAGGCTGATACTAGAGATATGTCCCAGGCAGAGATTGCAGAATTCTGGGAAGTTTATTTATGAGATCTGCTAATAGGTGTAGAACACAACCCCTCAGGGTGTCAGTACGGAGTTCTGGGACACACCTGGAGGATGGCCTGCCAAGTAGAGGCAAATAGGAAGGAGCTCCAAGTAGATGAGCAGAGGAGCAGAGGAGGGCAAGGATGGCAAGGGGAATGTGCAGGGAGTGTGGGGTTGGCAGGGAAGAAGGTGAGATGCATCTCAAAGGTTGAGACACAGGAGTGTAGAACTGCCCAGAGAATCCGTCTGGAGGCCATATGAAGGACCACATGGAAAAACTTCCCCAGGACTTCTCCCAGTCTTCAAACTTGCCAATGCATATGTCTTACTCATCTATTGCCACAATATTGTAACATAACAAACCACCCTAAAACCCGCTGGCATATGGCAGTAAGTATTTATTTCTCTCTCACGGATCTGTGGGTTGGGCAAGGTTTCTCTGATGTGGGCTTTTCTCATTGGGACTTGGTTGGCTTCATACTGTGAATTGAATTTAGTTCTGTTTAATGTGTCTCTGTTCTCACTTGGACTAGTGACCACCCAAGGCACATTTGTCTAAGGGTGATAGGCATGAGTGGAAGAAAGCTAGATTAATGACACAAGCACGTGTCAAGCTTTTTATCACATCCTATATTCATGAACGTCCCTGTGGTCAAAGCAAGACACAGGACCAAGCTCAAGCCAAGGGGCAGGAAAGTAAGTTTCCCACTTAAAGGCCACTGTGGAGCATGGTTGTTTAATACAGGTACAGGGGGGCCCAGAGATTTAGCTCAGTGGTTCTGCCACCTGCCTTGCAAGCACAAGGTCCCGAGTTTGATCCCCAGTAACAACAACAACAAAAAAAATTCAAGATAAATACAGGTACAGGGAATGAGAAGTTGAAACCAGTAATTTGGCCTCCTTTAGGATGAGCTTCATTGATTCATTCAGTAAATATTTATCAAAAGTCTACAGCATGCCAGGGACTGTGCTGCTTCTGGGAAGCAGGCCTGGTTCTTGTCTTATGAAACTTATATTCTAATAATGGTAGACCACACTAAAGAGCTATGTGTTATCATTAATTATTTAATTGCATTTGTGATAATCACTACAAAGGGAAATTACAGAGCACAGGTACTGAAGAGCCTGACCCTGTCCAGGCAGGAAAAGATGGTGGAGCTCAGAAATGAAGAGTTAGAGTTCCATTCCAAGGGATCCTTAACAAGGTTAACCTCACTGCTGATTTCTCATCAGAAGTCATGGAAGCCAGAAGGCAGTAACATAGTCAAAGTGCTAAAAGAAACAGGCTGTCACCATGTAGATTTCTATACCCAGAAAAACTATCCTTCAAAAATGAAGGGGAAATTAAGACATCCTAGATGAATAAAAACAAAATATGTCAGTAGTAGACATGCCCTGTAAGAAATACTACAAAGAATCTTTCAGGCTGGAATAAAAGAATCCTAAGAGTGACTCAAATCCACATGAGGAAATAAAGAAGTACAAATGTATTTTGGGGGGCGGGGTACTGGGGATTGAACTCCGGACCTTGCGCTTGCAAGGCAGGTACCGGAACCACTGAGGTAAACCACCCAGCCCAATGTATTTTGTTTTTAATTCTTTTCTCCTGTGTAACTAAAAAGACAACTGTGTAAAGCAATAATTATAAAACTGTGCTGACAAGCTTGTAATGTACAAATATAATTTGTATGACAATAATAGCACAAAAAAGAGGGAAGGAAAGAGAGGTATGGTCATGGATTGCTTAATGATGAATACGTGTTCTGAGAAAGATGGCTTTAATATCACTAGGCGATAGAATTATGTGGGACCACTGTTGTATATGTGGTTCATTGTTGACCAAAACACCATTATACAGCACATGATTATACAAGGTGTGAACAAAATATATGGTGAATGTTTAAATTTAAAAACTGTAGAGCTGGGGATTTAGCTCATTGGCATCCAGCCTGCCTTGCAAGCACAAGGTCCTGAGTTTGATCCCTGGTACCAAAAAAACCCAAACAAACAAATAAACACAAAAAACTGTATTATAGTAAAAGTCACATTGCCATTAACCCCTATAGATATATTATGCAAGCAATAACCATGACAGAATAGACTTAAGGCAAAAGTTAGTACTGAAGATAATAAGGGTATTTTGAAATGATAAAAGGGTCAATCCATCAGAAGCTGTAACAATTATAAACATATATGCACCTAATAACAGACTCCCGAAACACATGAAGCAAAATTAGCAGAAATGAAATGAGAAATAGACAATTCAACAATATTTATAGGGCTGGGGATTTAGCTCAGTGGTTCTGCCGCCTGCCTCGCAAGCGCAAGGTCCCAAGTTTGATCCCCAGTACCAACCCCCCCCCCAATATTTATAGATTTCAGCCGGGGATGTAGCTCAGTGGCACCATGCCTGCCTGGAAAGCGCAAGGTCCTGAGTTTGATCCCTGGTACTGGAAAAAAAAAATTTCCAAAATATTTAGAGATTTCAGGATGTTATTTATAATAAGGGGTAGAGCAAGTAGGCAGAGGATTACCAAGGAATTCAAAGACTTGAAAAGCACTATAAACCAACCACTTACCGGACATCTCTGTAGAATACTCTGCCCAACAATAGCAGGTTCTTCTGAAGTGCACATGAAGTATTTTCCAGGAGAGGCCATATTTTAGGCCATAAAACAACTCTTAATAAATTTGAAAGGACTGAAGTACAAAGTATATACTCTAACTATAGAGGAATGAAAATTAGAAATCAAGGGAAAAGGAAGGATTTTTTTTTTTTTTGTACCGGGGATCGAACTCGGGACCTTGCTCTTGTGAGGCAGGCAACAGAACCACTGAGCTAAATCCCTGGCCCAAAAGTTAGAAATCAAAACTAAAGGGAGTTTGGGGAATTAACAAATATGTGGAAAGTAAGCACTCCTAAATAACCAATGGATCAGAGAAGAAATCAGAAAGTACTTTGAGATGAATGAAAATGAAAATATAACATGACAAAAGTAGAGCATTTGTAGCTGCAAATGCCTGTATTAAAGGAGAAGAAAGTCCTCAAATCAATAATCTTCCACCTTAAGAAACTAGGAAAAACCCCCAGCTACTAAACCCAAAGCAAACAGAAGGAAAGAAATAATAAAGGTTAGGACAGAAAAAAATGAAACATTGAGTAAAAAAGTCATGTATTGTTTGAGTCCATTTATAGGCAATGTCCAGAATATACGAATCCATCCGACAGTGGATGGGTGGTTTCCAAGAGCTGTGGAGAAGGGAGCCATGCGGCTGACTGCTAATGGGTTTCTTTCTGGGGTGATGGAAATGTGCTGGAATTTGACAGTGGTGATGGTTGCAGAACTCTATGAATATACTGAAATCCACCCAGTTGTAAACTTTAAAAGGGTGAGCTTTATGGTTTGTGAATTATATCTCAATGCTAATAAATAAAAGTTTTTTGAACAGAGTTAATGGGCAAAAGAAGTTGTGGGGAGAGGGTTCAAGGAAACATTTCCTGCACAAAAGTATAGAGGTGCCTTCAGGTCGCTAGGGGAGTATAGAGGTGTCCACTGGGTAGGGTAGAGATTTTGCTTTTATGCTAAGAGCAGCAGGAAGTCACTGGGGAGACTTCAGATGGAGTAGTTCAGCGGCAGGACTGGCGCTTGGATAAGCACTGTGATGACAGGACAGAATGAAGAGGGTCAGGAGGCGATCTGGGAAAGTGACAGCAGTAACTTAGGCAGGAGGAAGCTGCATTTTGGGGGGGCTTGTTGTTCAAGGTCACTTTGCTAGATGGAGACAGACATAGAGCTCTCTGGCTCTGAAACCTCCACTTTCCCTGGCCAGGCCACTGATTCAAATGCCCCACACGCTGGCATGGGCGGTATCAGGGGAAGTGTGCATCTTGATGTTATTTTTGTTTGGTTTTTTCGCTACTGGGAATTGAACTAAGGCCTTTCCACCCATTATGATTCTGATTTTTGATTTTGAGACAGAACCTTGCTAAGTCAGCAAGTGTCCATCTTATTCATCAGGCCACCGAGGATGTGTGGCTCACTAGGACTAATTGCAGAGTAGAGACCAAACAGAAGGGGAATTCGTTGCTAGGGCACCAGGGTATCTCACAGAAGCCATGGAAGATTTGAACCGCCAGGTGTCCTCCCTGCCTTGTGTCTGCCTAGGTCTCTGCCTTGGTTGCCCTCTTCTTTCTTGCACTGCAGCCCATCTTTCTGTTTCTCTGAACTGGACACGTCCACTGGCGAAAATGACCCTCCATCACCTAGTAAGTTTGCATCTTACTATTCCAGAGAGCTGTTGAACATTAGTCTCAGCCCATTTCCCAGAATCCCCCTTTGTTTCCAGGGTAGGAAATTGAACCCAAGGTCTCACACATGCTAGGGACACACTATACCACTAAGCCACATCCTTGCCCTGAATTTTCCAGGTGCTTAAGGGAGGAACCTCGATATGTGAACTTGGCCTTGTGCTGCCCCGAAAAAGTCTGCTGGCCAAAGGGGGCTGGTCAGGATCAACTCAGGGCTTCTGGAGCCACACCAGATAGGGCTGGGCAGCCACAGTAAGACCATGAAGAAGACGGGCCATCAGACAGAATGCCAAGTTGCCTTATTTTCAGTCCCTTCCCCACCCTCCCATCAGTCTGCCCCTAGAGATTAACCATAGGTAACAACACAAACCTTATTTTGTATTTTGTCACTCAAATTGGTTTGTAAACAGCCCTCAGATTATCATGCCTCTCCTATTTTGCATTCTCTTTCAGCCCATGATTATTAAGCAGGGAGCATTCCAGAATTTAGAAATAATCTTCTAATCTTCATGAGTTCTCTTTGTTTCCCCAGAAAAGAAAGGCCTGGCCCATGCCCTCTTGGAAAACTTGTTGAAAAAGACCCCAGTTACTGTCATTGTCTTCATTTCACCTGCTGTTCGAAACTCAATGGCACTGATTCAGGTACCTGGAGCCCTGGTGATTGTGGAATAAATGGGCCTGTGATTGCGGACGGGAGGGCACAGGAGATGTATGTGAAGTCCAGTGGGAGGCATGTGTGAGGGTCAGCTGCCCACACAACCCTGCTGTTTCCGGCCCTGGCTCATCCATCCTCTTTCAACTGGTCCACAGGGCCTGTGTGCTGTGCCACCTTATCTGGGGACACTATGGTCAGGACGCTGCTGGAGGCCCAGGCCCTTCGCCCTAGGGCAGCATCTACAGTCCTGAGCAGTGTGATGATCTTGGCTGGGGCTTTCTCTCTTGCTGGGAGAAGCAAGGAATCGCAGTCCTTCAGTCAGCCACTGCTCTCATACATCAGAGGCGGGACAATGACACTCTGAATGCAGATGTGGTTTCTGACAGCTCCTTTCTCTTTGAATTCCTGCAGCATTTATAAGGAGGCCATGCATTTGGTGTCTTATTATTTATGGCCAAATGCTATTGCCTAGAATGCTACTTCCAATACTAATTGCCGGTGGTGTGCATGGAGCTGGTGTTGACTAGCATAGCCACCAACCTCTGCATTTAATTTGCTTCCACCACATGAAGGAAGTAGGCAAGTAGTGTTATAGGCATTTAATAGTTGATAAAACCTCAGATTGGCTGTGTAGGGTGTGTGTGTAATTTTTTTCTCTTCAGTCACAGTGCTGGTAAGAGCTCAGACTAAAAGCCTGGCTTCTGATCTCTAATTCCATATTCTTTTCATCAAAGAGTGCAACTGTATTCTGATTCTTTCAGGCTAAGACTGTGGCTTATTCTTCTTTGTTTGTTTCATCTATTATCTACCCATCTGTCCATTTATTCCTCCATCATGTTTTATAATGAACGTGAGGCTGCCTATGAGAATATGTATTTCTCTTTGTATCTTGTACATATAGGAGATATAAACCAGACATGGTGGGCACACCTGTAATCCCAGCACTCTAGGAGAATGAGGCAGGAGGATTTCGAATTCACGCCCAGCCTGGGGAATGGAGCAACTTAGCCAGACTCTGTATCAAAATAAAAAATTAAAGAAAAGGCTGGGGATGTAGCTCAGTGAGAAGGCTCTGGGTTTAATCCCCAGTATCACAGAAAAAGAAAGAAATATAGGGCTGGGGATTTAGCTCAGTGGTGCCATGCCTGCCTCTCAAGTGCAAGGTCCTGAGTTCGAGCCCCAGTACGGCAAAAAAAAAAAAAAAGAAAAGAAATATAAACATATATATTTATAATAAAAAGATAAAGTAGATGCTGTATGCTAGACCTACACGTATTTTACATTTATATGTGTGTATATATATATGTGTGTGTGTGTATGTTTTTATACATATAGGTCTATTAATATTATACATAACCTGTATATAAATATATGTAATTAAATAGAAACCCATTAAAATAAGACTAGGAAAAGTATAGGTTATCTAGAAGGTCAAAGCCAGAGGGAGTGTTATAATGCATGTAAAGACCATAGAGCTATGCACAATTTACTCTATTGGATCCGACTTTTAGCTCAGAGCCAGTGAGTGGTCAAGGCAGGAAAAATATTAGTGACGTGTCCTTGTGGTCTGTAGGGAAAGGGGTATCAGGCACCCAATGCTCATCTAGGCCATTGGATCTGAAGGAAATTTCTTGCCTGGGTGATCATCTGTGGGTGAGAAAAGTGCATGGCCTGTGGGCTGATGCTCTAGTCCAGCCCCCATGGTAGACATAATTAATCAACCACAGATCTGGTGCAGCTGTATTGCCCTTCTAAGCAATGTTCCAGGGAGCTGTTGCCAGTGGTTTGCCATCTTCATGCAAGGCAAAACCCACTTTTTCTCTGGCATGCGGGGTGATGGCATGTCTGGAAAGATTCTGAGTGGAGAGTCACCTTAAGTCACAACAAGCACTTCTGCAGGTGTGACCCAGGTGGTCACATCCTGTTGTCTGCTGGGCTGTTTGCTGTGAAACTCCTCCCAGTGCTAGCTGGAGTGACCCATCAGGGTGACAAGAGGTGGGAAGGTGTATCTGGAGGGACACAGGGTACACACGAAGGACTTCTGACTGGTTAGTCACTCATCTGTTCCACAGGTATTTATCAGACAGCGATTATGTGCCTAAATGTGTGCCTGACTCACTCTACTCACTGCTCTGGTCTCAGTTTAATGTCACTTCCTCTGGGACACCTGCCTGGGCTCTTCCATTTGCATCTGCACTCATGTTCATGTTATCCCACACCTTTCTGCGTAGTCCTGATCATAGCTTGTCCTGACATTTATTTATGTTTATTTGTTTAGTGGCGGGGTTTTTTTTTTTGTTTTTTTTTTTTCAGTACCGGGGATCGAACTCGGATCCTCGGCGCTTGCAAGGCAGGCGGTGGAACTACTGAGCTAAATCCCCGGCCCAATGGTGGGGTTTTTTTTTTTTTCCCTTTCTCCAACATGTGAGTTCCAAGATGGCAAGAATAGCACCTGTCTTGTTCACCATTGTCTTCCCAATCGTCACAAAGGGTCTGGTACATAGTAGGTGCTAAATTAATATTTGTAGGATGAATAAATGAAAGAATAGAGAGGGTGCAAAGATGAAGTAGATGCACTTTTTTTTCCCCCAGCACGGCCTTTGCATCCCCAGCTCTTTTTATTTTCTATTTTGAGATGGTCTTGCTAAGTTGCCTGGGCTGGGCTCATACTTTCAATTCTCCTGACTGAGTCTCCCAAGGTGCTGGGATAACAGGTGGGTACCACCATACCCAGCTACTTGGGCACACCCTGTCCAGTAGAAGATAGACATAAATATGGCATGTGGCAAAATGCTCAGTGCTGGAAGAAAGGGACAGGTCAATAGTGAAGGGAATTTTAGGGGAGAGAGAGGCACCTTCCAGAAGGAAGGGACATCAAGGAAGGCTTTAAAGTGTAGCACCCTGTGCTGGCTCCTGAAGAATGAGGTAGGGGAGGGACATCTAGGGCCCCGAGAGTGGCAAGAACAAAGGCAGAGGGGGACTTAGAGAAGAGCCAAGAGCCCATGTTGAATGCTTTTGGAGCAATGGCAGGAGGTGCAGCCACAGCAGGACAGTGGGCTGAGCCAGCTGTTGGAGATTTGCCACTGGGCTTAGCTGGGCAGTAGGGGGCAGGCAGCAGTGTTTGTGTGGAGCCAGGGTTCCTGAGAGGGGTTTTTAGTCTGACAGAGGCAGGAGGGAAGAGCTGGGGAAAACAAGTAGGCCAGAGTGTGGTCTGGGAATGGTAGAGGCCCTACCTGGGAGAATGAACAGTCTTTTTCTCCTGGACTGCATTGCATTTACATATTTTTTTACCAGTTGAAATGTTTTATCTATTTAAAAAATTTTTCCATTTTAGAAATTACTACATGTTTGCGATATGCATTTATGCCTTGTTTCTCCCATGCCTGCCTGTTGGCCTCAGATGACCTCTGTCCAGCAGCTCTGGTTCCAGGACCCCACACCAGCTCTGGCCATGCTGGCCTGGCCCAGCTCTCCAAAGGGGATTCTTGCAGCTAGGTTACCAAATAACACTGCTGCTAGCACATTTCTAAAGTTGAAAATAAAATATGTCTTTATCACACTGGTAGCATTTTATCTTGAGCATGGTTTCTTTCAATGCTTTTATTTTGCAGTTATAGGTTTATTTTTCTCATTTCCCTCCTCTTGAGCTTTTCAAAGTATTTTCAGTCACTTAGCTTGAGACTTTTAACTTTCCAATTTATATTAATTATCAAATTACTGTATTTCACATATGAGTCATTTGCTTTATCCCTTTTTGCTTCCTCCTTGCAAATCTTTTTTTTTTTTTCTTTTGGTACTGGGGCTTGAGCTAAATCCCCTGCCCCCTCCTTGCAAATCTTATTTGTGGATCTACTAAGCTGTTTGGCATCTACGTTCCTGTGCAGCCCCAAAGAGTGAGGAAATGTAATGGTGATGGGCCTTGTCGCTCGTGATTCCTCAGCACCGGGTGATGTTGGATTGACAGAGGCCGAAGTGTGCATGTTCCACACGTGTCCAAGGGCTCTCGCGTCAACACAAAGGGCTTCCTTTCCTTCTGGGTGCACTAGTGCAGAAGACCAGAGATGGTCAGAGGTGGACGACAGAGCCTGAATGTAGAGCTTGGGAGATGGGCCAGGATCTGGAATGACCTGGGAAGGCTTCAGTTGTCCCTGGGGTGGGGGTAGGGGGTTAGCAAATAGGTAAGTGCCAAGAGAGCAGGTCACACATGGTGATAGAAGAGGCTGCCACACCATCCAGGAGCATGAAAGAAGCCCACAGTGGAGTGATTCCTTCTGGGCCACATCAATGTGACAGGGGAGGAATGAATGCTGGGGCTTGGAAGGAAAGCACCCTCTGCTGCTGGCACAGGCCTCCTAAGGACAGGAACCAGAGCAGAGAGCTCACATCGTATTCATAAAGATGTCTGCCCCAGTCAGTTTAGGATCTGTGTGTATTCTCACTCCTTCCCAGTCCTGGGTAGGTGACTTCCTCAGGGATTTTGATGGCAAATGACAAGAACCCAACTCAAACTAGCTTAAGCAAGAAGGGGAATGAGTCTGTAGGTCAGGCAGCTTGGGAATTAACCGTGGCTCAGGCATAGGTAGACCCCTTGATTGGCAGTGTCATTGAGATTATGTACCTCCATCTCTTTGCAACCCTGTCCTTCATTTGCTGACTGGCTGTCTCTTGGCCATCCCAAACTAACATTATTCACAGAAAAAGGTCATATTTCTAAGGAACTCTGGCAAGAGCCCAGGGAAGACTCTGGGTGGCTGGGCCTGTGTCATATGTCCAGCCTGAGCCAGGCACTGCCCAGGAAGTGGGGATATTCTAATTGGCTGGCTCCAGTCACATTAGCCCTTGAGGAAGAGGAAGTAGGGGTCAGTATCTCTGACCGCAGAAGGACAGGGCATGCTTACTTTGGCCCAGAGGAGAATCATTCTCAACGGAATGTCGGGCAGGCAAGATGGATGTCCATTATGTAGGGCAGCGGAGGTAGAATGGTCCT